AGGTTCTGGGATTTCTCATATACCTCCTGCCCTCACACATGTATTGCCTCCCCCAATGCTTTCAAGTGTCTAAAGTACAAAAAAAAAGCATTTCTGCATTTTATCACAAAAAAGTTGTGAAATAAATATTACATGTCGCCACCATATTGGATTCTTTCCTCACCCCTTTGCTGGACTCATTTCGCATTTCTCCTAAGATGATATCTTTTACACGCACGTTTCAATCACCACTCATATATTGCTCACTTCTCATCTGAATTCTAGACTGCACACCCTTCCATAAATGTATTTTCAGCTGCTTAATGAACATTTTCCAAGACAATAAAAAAAAAAGTTTTTTGAAACCAATATCACGCTCCCCCTACAAACTTTTTGTTTTGAACACTGCTAGTCTTTCTAAAGGATGGCTCAAATAACATGACTCCTTTGCTCTTAAACCTTCAGTGGCTTCATTATAAAGACCACACTCATTAATGTAAAATCTAAGAACCCCTGGGATCCGGCCTGAAACCGGTTACACACTTCCCATTATACAGTAAATACCTAATAGCATGCATATCATGGGTCCCTCAGAGAGGTGCTAGAAAATGAAAGTTGAACAGAATATGGTCTCTGCTTTTAAGAAGCATAGTGTCTGGTGGAGAAGTAAAAGCAAACAAATAACCCCAAAACTACAAAAATTACCAGCAATACAGAAAGAGACCGTGAATGATTCCTGAAGGAATGATGCTTGACCTCAGGTCTGAAGAACTTGAGTAGTTAGTGAGAAGTGCTGCTGGCATTTCCAACAGAGGGACTAGCATTGGATGACAAGCAATCCCTTAGAAGGGGCACAAAAGGAGATATGAGAACAAAATGAAGGGACTGAAACTAGAGATGTATACCAGAATGAAATTGTTGAAAGGAGTTTTGCAATAAGCCAAAAAGTTGACTTTTTGTTTTTTGTTTATTTTCCCTAAAAACCAAGGCAAGCTATTTGAATTATTTACAATAAGAAATAACATGATCAAAATTGCACTTTGGAAAACCCAACCAGTGACAAGTGTGGAAGAAGGACTGAAAGAGGGATACTGGATGCATGGAAATGAGTTTACAGGATACAGCAGTTATCCAAGCAAGAACGGAAGGCCTGAATGAAGGTAGAAGACAGTGTAATGGAAAGGAAATGAAACACCAATTTTTACGGAGCCCAGAAAAGTTAGTGTCTGACTGAGGAGAGTATATGTAAGATGACTACAGTATTCTGTTGCTTTGCAAGCTGGAAACAAAGCATAATAATTTGGGGGGAAAGGAGGGTATAAAATACAGAGTGAAAAGACATTTTTAGGGATAAGAAAGAGGGATTTGGTTTAGGCAATGTTAAGCTTGAGATGCCTATAGGAAACCAAAATGTATGCACACCTCCTCCCTGGTACCTCACCTTGCAGCCTTATACTGACCCATCAGGGCTCACATGAGCTATCGCTTCCCTGGGTAAGTCTTTCCTGGCTGCCCAAGACTAGACAAATAATCCTTTTATAGGCTTATACACCGCATGGGGTTTTCCTACCATAGCAATTATCACAACATATATAAAATATTAAAATGTAGTATCACACACTCACCAACCTGGAAATACATTAATGGTGAGAGCCTTTTTTATTTTTATTTGTCAACTTTCCAAAGCTAAACATTTATAATTAAACTCAATAAATCTTTGTTGAATGCACTGATGAGCCAATTCCTGTCCAATCTTCCTTTATATGTTGAATAACTATGTCAATATCATATATTAAAGTCCTCCAATCTCCCAGCACCAAAAACCTTTGAGGTCATTTGCTCTATTCTCCTTTTGATTACTGCTCAGTAAATGTTTACTGCTGCTTAGCAAGAAATAAAAATTAAATTAGCCTTATGAGAGTAAGAATGAAGAAGTCTTTTTCACAATATCAACATGTATATTATTAGAATGAGATTCTGAAGGAGGAAGGATTATGTAGGGGAACGAAGATCAAACTATCAGAACAACTTGTTATAATTAGTACATGCTAGGATAATTTCTTAAATCAATTTGATCATACTGAAACTATCTCTATTACTTACCAAACAGAAAAATTTCTAGATCCTCTCCAATGAAAGGATCAGACAAAATAAACTTTGCTTTAGAATTTTGATAGTATCTATAGTCAAATCGCAGTAGCCTTGGGGATAAAATGAATCTCCATTAAAGATGTACTTTATAAAAACTGATATGATGGCTTTCTTCTCCAAAAAAGAGTTATTAGAGTAATATTACACTTACAAAATTACACGCAAAAATGTCAACACAGTTAAGGTTGAGGCTCTGCTTAATTTCATTCCCTGGGGTAAATGTATTAGTGTATCTGTACAAGGAGGTTGATAATTCAATATCTTCTATGTACTTTCTGACATTTCTGGTGTTCATTTTTCAAATTTATGCACCAAAATAAAGAATGTATCTAGCAACTAGGATAGTTTCCTGCCTAAAGCAAAGTATTTACATGCGTCTTTATAAAGCTATCAAGAAAGAAGTTCTTGCTGATATAGACAAAATGGTATGGCACTTGAAATCCTTTACGGAGCAAAGAGTATTTTCTGAACATACCTAAGACATTTAACTTCTGACTAAAAAAAGACAACAGACCTTGAACAAGGTCTTTCATCTACTTCCATTTAAAGCTTACAATTTTCGAACAATGTATTGAAAAAGTTATCATGTTTCACATCACTCATACAAACTATACACCCAAAAACGGTTATAAAAGCAAATTTATACTATCTGGGATACATCCAAATCAGGTACTTGAAATGTTCCTACTACTTTCCCATGAAGAATAAAAGTTCTTACTGAGCTTAAAATATAAACTTGGTGGGGTGAAGGGTCTCCCTACAACACAGACATCTATCAACTGCAACACTTATGACACTTAATTTAAATGATACATTGTTTCCCCACAAAACTAAGTACTTCGGGGCAACGACAGTATCATTTTCACAGCTGAATCCTAGCCTGCAGCCAGAGGCCTAAGATATTACTCTCTCACTAAGTGTTAGGTGAACCTTAGAACTTCTTAGCACGGCATTTACAAAATTTTTCATAAGTTACTGCTAACTTACAAAAAAGTGCCTACCATTTGCAGTTACATTTTATCTTAAAAGTTTATAAAAATGTACAGTTCTCCAAGATTCATTTAGGGCCTGATACAACTAAAATGTAGACTTTTTGGCAGGGTGCCTATCGCATAGTCAATGTTTATTTAGTCTATGTTCACTGAGGTGGTGGCAGTAATTATTATTTGTTCTATGTAAGAAACCAGCCCTATGTATTTAAATCAGAGCGAATACCTAAAATGTGAAGAAGCCAACAACAACTACCCCCCCAAAAAAAAAATAAAAAAACAGAGAAAAAGTCTTACGTGCTAAGCAGAGGTAAGAGCACAAAACAGCACATTAAAGAAAAGTGGGGAATGGATGGATGGGTAATACTACTGGGCTAAAAAAAGGAAAATGGCAATATCTGATACTTTTGACCTATGAAAATGATAATGTTTTATGGTTCAACTTGATTTAGAATGAAGCAACTTTAATCAAAGCAAGTAATTTAATCTGTCTCTTAAAATGTTTAGATATAATTTCAATCTTAAGTGCCTAAATTATCTGACTTCTTGAGAAATATATCAATCTTAAAATTCTGACCCTATACATTTTGTTCAATCATTTATTCACTCATTCAAAACGTAAGCGTTTTTTTTTAGTTCTTAGACCAAGAATCATTCTAGGTGTAGGGATAGTGAACAAAGCAAACAAAAATCCCTCAAAGTTTCCTCTAGAGGAAGAACTGGACAATACACTCAATAGATAGTCACACATAAACACAGGCCATGTAGCATGCCAGGTGCGATAAATACAACAGAAGAAATGCAAGCAAAGCAGCATATATAGGGCAAGGTTGAGAACTGGAGCTAAAATGTTTAAATGTGATGGTCTCTCGGTAATCCTCCTTGCAGGAAGACATTTGCGCAAATGCCTGAAGTGGTAAACAAGGAGGTGCAAAGTCTCTGAGGCACAAGCAGACCAGAAGTGGTTTCCCCCAGTCTTGCAAAGATACTTACTTTCTTGCAAAATTCTGATGCTTTCTCTTCAAACTCTTCTAGTTTTGCTTGATCTATGCAAATACCTAAAAATGCAATGACAGAAAGTTTTAAATTGCAGTACTTCTTAAATTCATTATGACTTTAAAAGTTTAGGGAGAAAAAAAAAAAAAAGCATAGAAAAGATTTGGAAATAGTGCCAGTAATAAAATAAGCAAAATGGAGAAACATAATATTATGATGTTGGAATGAAGAAGGATTTTCTACGCATGATGCCAAGGCCATAAAACATAAAGGGAAAGACAAGCCCAACTTCTACTAAGCAACAGGAGGAGGGAGTTCAGCTGTAATACGCCATACTCAAAGGTTTCTGTCACAAGCACATAAACATTTGGAAGGAAGAAAGGGGATATCCAACACAAGATAGGAAAATGGGCAACATTAATAAAAAGAAAATTAGGAATAAATAACAAAAGTAAAAATTGCTAAAATATGAACCGATATTTTAATCTCCCCTAATAAGATGAAAACATAATATTTTTAATGAGAAACAGCAAAGATTAAATTATTCATAATGGCAAATGTTGGAGATGGCATAGAGAAACCAACTTGTCAATACAACAGTAAAAGTAAAATTAAGGAACTTCACTGATGAGAAACTAAGCAACATATACTAAAATTTAAAATATGCATTTTCTTTCACCCAGCAATTTATTTCTAGGGCTTTGTCTTTATGAAAAAGTATTCATTAAAATATTGTTTATGTTTGCAAAATAATGGGACATAAATGTCCATCACTAATAGGTTGATTAAATAAGCTATGATATATATCCATATGATGGGAGACTATGCAGGAGAAGTGATTCATATAGATTTCCCATAATGCATATTATCCCTTCTTTCCTTTTCAATGAAAGTAATACATGAATATGGTTTTAGAAGACATATTACAGAAGGGCTTATAATGAAAAGTAACAGTCAACCAAATCAACTGCATTGAAAGCTCAACTCTACTTCCTGAATGCAATCTCTTATAGCACTTCCTGTACTAGATTATTCTGGTGGTTAGCATCCTGACTCCAAATAAAATGTGCATACCATTTTTTTTAATTTATCTATTCAAGACATTAGATAACTTCCTGCTATAAAAGATGAAAACTGTGTTCCCTATCTCATCCCTTTTTAATAACTTTACTTTCAAAATTGGCTGGCTCTGGAGCACTAAATAAATACTTATTCCTCTGATTCCTGTTTCATACACAGGATGCCCAGCCTCGTGTCTTCTCTCACCTAGTGATGCCAATACATTGACATACTCTTCTGTATTTGTCTTCTGCACTGTCTATAAGCTTATTCTAAACATTTAGTATCAATAAATACAATTTACTATAACTATGCAAATATGTTTCACTTATATAGCCAAGCAGTATACAGAGACTGTATTTCCTTTCCAAGTACTATATTAAGCAAGAATTGAACGTGAAAACCTCTCATCTACTCAAGAAAAAAATGTTCCTAGTGTCCAAGTGGAATAAATTTTCTTTTCCGATACTTATCAAAGTCATTTCACATTTCAAAATTTTACTTGATGCTTCAATTTTTCATTAGTAACAAATTCTATCACTCATTTTCCCTGAAATTAGAGACATGCTTCATTTCATTTTTAAGAAAGTGTGTGCCAAACATTCAAGCAGCCACAGTTCGTATGACAATCTTTCTTTTGAGGTGAAGAAAAGAGCCAGTTGAGCTCACAATTCAATTACACAAATATGTTCTCACTGGACCTGGATGAACAGCAGATGTGTTTCATGTGTGCGTCTCCTTTTGACACACACTTATTTAAATGAGTGTTTAAATGAACTCAAGGGCATCTTTAAGTAGGAAAATGAGTTTTTATTGCTTGGTTTTGCTTTACTGAGAGGGAAGAATACATTTTGGTGCCACTGCCTTGACTCCTAACGAGGGGCCAGCAGTTTTACCCACCATTCGTTTGCATCACCAGTGTAAATATCAACATAGTAAAAAAGGCAAATAATGTCCTTACATTATTATGAAAATAGTTTTGATTATTAGAACATCTTGAAAGGTATAAAGGACTCTCAGGAGTCTACAAGCCCCACTATGAAAACAAACACTCTAGAACTAATCCATGGGGAAAGAGACAATATGATATTTCTACTTAAGTAATAGAGAAATACTCACCAACAAATTGACTTAAATCTAAATCTAGTCGTTTTCGATATGTGAAGTCTGGATCAATCCCATCTCTATGCAATACAATCTGAGACACACACTCATCAATTAACTTGAAGTACTGTTGTCTAAAACCAAGGAAAAGAATAAGTGTCCACTCAATTTATTAGCGTAACAACATCAAAACAAAACACGGTAAAACCTTGGATTGCAAGTAACTTGGTTTGCGAGTGTTCCGCAAGACGAGCAAACATTTCTAATACATTTTAACTTGGTAAACAAGCGATGTCTTGCAAGACGAGTAGTTTGTTTCTGGACTGAATTATTCTCGCAAACCAAGGTATTACTGTATTTTGTTAAGCTTGACTTCAAGTTCAATAGTTTACTTTGTATAGTTTCAACAGTTGACATAGATTTAACATGAGAGTGACAGTAAATATATCACTTACCTTCTAATGATTTTAAGATATTACATTTTTTTTTATAATTTTTCAGCAAATATAGTGTGCTTTAAAGGTGATTTTCTTATATAAATCTGAACTTTGACTTAATTAGTAGGCAATAAATGAGAGAATATTAAGATGAGGTAATATGTGTTTAGAAGCAATCCTCAATAAAGATCAATTAATACCATGCCATAGCAGAATAGCCACCATGAATTCATTTTATTAATATAAACCGAAAAAGTATGTTCTCAAATATTTTCTAGAAGGTTCTACAAACAATACAGTATACTTACTGTTTTTAGAATATATGTGGAATCAAATTAAAAACTGATACTGCAAATTATATACAATATGAAACATATTTCTTACACAAAAGAAAGCTAGAAAATTTTAGTATAACATATTTTGTCCAAAAATTAAAGTTGAACTAAAATCCCCAAATAAGGTCCATGTTGTAACCACAGTTCAGTCCACCTATGTATGTAATAAGCTAAACGACATCCATTAAAACTCAAACAACAAATGTCAAAGAAATATCTAGAAGATTTTATAAACAAAACCAAAGTGATAGAGAGGGTGGGCACTTTTCTAATGAAGCACAGTCCTCCATCCCCAGCACCCATGACCCCCGTGACTTACTTTTTCCTTCAGTAATGTTTTGCACACTTTTGCTCTCTAAACCCGCCTCAACATGTATATGATGGGCTTTCCTTTCTTATAAACTATGACCTACTGCCTTTGAGCTACAAACCTGACGCCTAATAAACCATTCATTATGCTGAACAAAATTCACTACAGCTTAACATTAGCAAAAAAACTACTGCTGATTGTCAGAGTAAAAATCTTCGAGACACAATTGCTGTATACAAATTAATGCAAGAAGATATTATCCATGCTTTCCTCAATTTTCTCCACTTCTGTCAAAAAATCTCTCATTCCCTAACATTTTAGCCATAATCACATTTATACTTCAAGTACACAAACGGCATGCACATTTATATCTACCACATTTGAGGATTTAAATGATGCACTTCCATTCCTTTGTATTCATTCAACGCTATCCTAATATTATTTTAATAATAGAAATGTTTTAAATTAACCAAATTATCTTATATCATTAAAAAAAATCATCATTTAAGTAACTGTTTTCCCCTCCTTCGGAACTCCCAATTACGAACTCATTTATAACATAGCTGAAATTCTGCGCAAACTCTTCAGCAACGCAATGTTAGCAAAGAATAACAGACATCTGATTCCCAGGAATGTAAATTGAGGAAATAATCTCTATGAGTGATATTGGTGAGTTAGTGACTATGTCAGAGGAATATGTGAACAACTTTAATTAAGAGATGACCATAAATTGTCATTGCTTCACTGATAAAATGCCAATTTTAGATGATATTTTAAAATCATATTCAATTTCTCTGTATATTTTTACAGAATACCAGAAATTATCTCCCATGCACAATAAACGAGCATGGTATTCTGCACTTTGTAAGCCACTAACTATTTGTTACAAAATAAAATTTGATCTTCTGTTCCACCTTCCAATTATCTTACTGCATTTGAGTTTTCTTGGTTGGCAGAGGCTACCTTGATATACGTTCTCCAAACAAGTGCCATTTCAATAAAATTTCCTTATGTGCCAAATGTGAAAGTGACAAAGGTTCTAATTTTCCTATCTACTAATTCTGTTAAATGAGAATATTTTGCATTCTGCAAACACCTAATCTATTTATAAAAAAAGTAAAAGAATTATGTTTATTCATATCAATAATAGCTTAAAGTGTTCACCAAAAAAAAAAAAGTTCAGATAACCAAAGACTTTAAAAAGGTAAAATTTAGGTCCATCTAAGATAGTGACACCAAAAAATGAAGCTCAGACCAAAACACAAGATTCACAGGACTGCATACCAGAAAAAGTGCATTTTACTGTATGTAAATAAAAATCTAATTTTTTAATTAAAAAATTAAAGTGCCAAGGAAAAGCAACACAGATGCAAATCAAATTAAAAAGGTGACACTCAAAAGGTGACCAAAATAACTAAACTTCTAGGCTTCAGTGATGTCACACTGGCAGTGCTACAATTTAGTATTTCTCTGAGACTCTTGATCCCACTAAAGTTATGGGATTGATCACCTGAGCACGCCCCAAGACAGCTCTGTTTTCTAATCTGTTTGGTTTTTTGGTTTTGTTTTGTTTTGTTTTTTATTGAAGTTAGATACCACCTCTTGTCCTAACCGCTTGTCTTCTTGGAGCACAAATGAAGGGATTAAGGTCAGAAGTAAAATATAACCCCCCTGGCAACACTAGGGACACACTCAAATCTTTGAAAGCAAACAACAGTGTTAAAATTCTTGCAGTCTCAAACAGCTAGAGGTTGACAGGGATCAAGTAAAGGAGGGGGTGACTTTAGAGTAAACGTAAGTCTGAATTTCACTTTTAAATAAATGTGGAGGAGAAATTAGCAATACCTATAATATTTAAACATCTTATGTAATTAACATATTAGTATTTTTATCTAGCATTTATAAATTGGTAAAATATTTAAACTATTTTTAATAAAATATTAGAAGAAAATTTAGCATCAAAACAGGCTACTAAACTCAAATTTTAGACTACCAATGGGGTTTCCCTTCGTAGACAAAGGGAGGAGGAGGTATGATGGGTAATCTGTATTCATCCCAAAGAACCTAAAGTTGTAACATTTTTTTGACTCATTCAATTCTCTTGCTGGGTACATCAAAAGGCCTAAATTATATTCCCTGACATCACCCAGAGGACACAGCCTGAATCAGACAAGCCTAGCAAACCCTCCTAGTTGAAATTAGAATAAGAAAAGACTTACTACCCACAGTATTTGAGAATGCAATCTCAGCAAAGCTAAATTGGTGGCAACAAAAATGGGTTGATATTCAAAGATCTCAGCTTCCTTCATAAAACAGTAATAGAAGCAGGAAGAGGACAGTGAGAACATTTACTGAGCATACACCATGTGCCGAGCATTCGGCTAGAAGTTTACCCTCGCTACCATATTTCATTTTCATAGCCACTGGGGCAAGTCAGGTGTTAACATCCATAGATAGCTACATATAGGTAAAGTACAGGCAGGATAAAAATTTGTTAAGCTCAAGAAGGCTAGGATATAATCAAACTTGAAAAGTCATTTGTCTAGCTTTTCTGATACATTAGCAACATTAAACACACCTATATTATCAGGGCACTTTCTACCTGCTTAATAAAAGCAATGTTTGAGGGTCCTTCGTGTAACTTATAAAAAGAAACTTACCAACATCATTCCTACAGCCTAAGGACTAACCAGAAAATATCATCCATCACATGATAAACAAGTAATTTATTGCTAGTTTGTAGTTTTATTCAGATGAAAAGTTGAAACAAAGAATCCACTGGTGCTTAAAAAGCGGTAGTAATATCAATTCATGATTATCTATCTAAATATACGCCCAGAGGAAATACCACATTCTATGAATCGCTATTATGACAAAAATTAAAATCTTCTAATTATTTGCTTGCCCAAATCAAACATCAGGTGAATTTCACAATTAACAGAATTTTATCAGTGAAAGAAAACACTAGAATATAGCTTCCACTTACCTTATAAAATAATCATTTCGAATCAGTAAAAGATGCTGAAGAATAGAAATAAAATATCTCTCTGCTCTAGTTTCCTTAACTGTGCTCCACACCATGTTGTAAACATCATATGCTTCAGTAACTTGATTAAGGAATATGTGGATTTATTCATCCTCTACATCAAACAACTGAAATAATATGACGTGCACTCTGCTCTGTAAGATATTCAAAGATTATTGTGTGTCTTACCCTAAAATAGGCATCATGCATACTCAGCACATGATAAAACACAGCAAGTTAGGATTGACAGGAGAGGAAAAATTGTGTGCAGATGACAACTTTACCTGACACTTCCGGGCTTCTCCTCTACAATTAACTTCAACCTGCCTCACTGGAGCCAAGTTGCTACTGGCAGCAGGGTAGTGGGCAGCTGGCTGTGACTACCGTATTGCATCCTGGGGGAGCCCTAACCAAGGGAGTTGGAAGCAGACATTAACTGCCACGGAGAAGCCAACGGGACAACAGGAACCTGGTGGATCTCTGGAAAAGCAGACATCTGCAGACCCACCTGAGTTAACCAAGGCCCATATGAGTAGGTACCCATGGTGTAGGGCAGGAGCGGACCAGCAGGCTGAGGGTCCCTCCAGTTCCTACTACTGGAAAGCATTGGTGGGGAGGTGGTGACGTACATAAAAAGAAAAAAGAACAGAGTATACACATACACATAAAAGACCTGTCTAACAGACTCCATCTGTAGGTTCTAACACCCATTTACACATGCGTGAATACACAAAATTACACATTAAATAAAATAAGAAAGGTTTACATAAACATCCTTCTGATTCATAAAGGTTTGATGTTATATTGCTTATACAGAAATGGTTTCAGAAATTTAATATTTCATGGGATGGAGTTGGTTTGTTGAGGTCTAGCAGTGATTGTACATATTTGCTTAGACTTTAGAACAAAAGGATATTCAAGTTCGGCTCTAATATCTTCAAAGCGATGGAGGAACTCAATCATGTCTTCTTCCTTATGCTCATCAAAAACTTTAAGTTGGATATCCAGGCCATCATTCTTAATGCATTTTAAATTCTGCAGATATCAAACAGAAAATATAATGAACTATTTTTCCATAATGCAAAAAAATTAATGAAAAACATATAAAGAAACATACCACTCAACTTGATTTATAGCCTTCAAACAAAGTGTTAAATACTCAAACATCTTATCATCTATATTTCAAAAATAGATTTTTATATTCAAGCCTTTTTTCCCACAGATAAATTATTCTTGAAGGTAATTTATCTAAATTTCCCCCTACTCGAGTACTCCTCTAATTTAAATATTAATAAGGAGACTGCAGGGCACTTACTGGAAATATCTCTTTCAATCCACAACGCATAAATTCATTTCTGATGTGAAGCCTGAAGTCCAAATCATCAGGAGACGTAACAAGGGCATTGATGAGCTGCATACATGCTACCTACATAAATAGATGACACAGCCAGAGTTAGACCTGGATCCCAATATGAAAAAAAAAAGCTAATGGAACTGAAACATCAAGGCTTGGTTCCAAGAATTATCAAATATCTTCCTTCACAGGAGTCTATTAAAACCATAATTTATTTTTCTTCTAAGCCAAAAAAAAAACCCAATAATTTTTATGTAAAATATTTTCATTATAAATTATATAAGAAGTATCGTTTCAGTGGAGTTTTTTGTTGTTGTTTTCCAAATATTTGGAGGTTCTTGTGGGAGATAGGTGGAGAAACACGTGATTCGCTGTATTTTCCCAGTTCAAGTTTAACAACCCTGCTTTCAACTTCTCCATTTTATTATCCCTGCCTGAAATATATCATTCATCATCTCAAATCCATATAATGGAAGCAAGAGAGACGGTCTCTAGAGAAGCAAAACTATGCTTTACTGCTGTTGATGATGCTATTTTTCTAAGTCTACATTCCACCAAAGTCTAGCAAGAATGACTGGCCTACTGATCAATGTTTAACTTCATGCTGTTCCCTAAATTGTCCTTTCTCCATCCCTTAAGGCGAGGTTTACAGAAATTTAAAATGCCATTTTTGGATTAAGACACCAATAGGGGTCTCAGTCCCTGCTGGTTGAAATATATCATAATTGTTGTATTTTATATTTAAACGCTAAAGTGACCAGCATGCTTCTACTGTCAAAACTTAAGAATGTTTAAAGTGGTGGTGGGAAATGTGCCAGAAGAGAGGGGAAAGGAAAACACATTTATAAGAAAAAAAAGAAAGAAAGAAAGATCTTAAAATAGAGTCAATCTTTCTAGTACACATTCACTGAACTGTTGCCAGTTCACATCAAAAAGTCAAGTTTAAAATGCTTTCTTTCCACTTTCTTGCCAGTCATTACCCAGTATCCACAAATGTGTTTTTCAGCAATATGCTGTAATTTTAAAAGATCTCAAAGAGCGTATAAATAGTGTTTCTGTACATTCAGAGAAATTAAATCAGTCTTAGTCACCAGGTTTCTGGAAAAGATGCAAATTATAGACAAGTGAAGCTGCAAAAGTAACAAAAATTTGCAACAAATATCACCTAAATGGAAAGTAGATTTTAAAGAAAAATAATAGCATGAAATTGAGGAGAAAGCAGGGAAAGGATAATCCAAAGTATTTCCAAGAAATATTCTAAAAGGTATTTTTCCATAAAAGGAAAAACAGGAATTAAGGTGAAATATGAATTTAGTTCTATAAAAAAGCCCTTCCCAATTCTAATGAAATTTGCCATTATCATGACCTATAACCATCCTTTCATTATTTTACATTAATATATTCATATTAATCATGTAGACACACGTCTATGAATATGTACAAGTATACAGCAAAATGTATTGTTTCCTTACAGATAAAAATTCTATAATCAAGGTAAAGACCAATGTTTATTAACACGTACGAGTATACTGAAATATACGGACCTGCTGTATCACGTAATTTCACACTCCTATAGCATACCAGCAGAACTGGGTGCCAAGCTGGCATCTATGCCATATAAAACCATTCCTAGAGAAACTGAAAAAAGGCTTAGGAACTATAACGGTAAGCAAGACATGTTGCCTGCTCAAATGAAGGTACACAGAACAGTGATTAAAAATACACTATGTACTACATACAAGAGATATGTCCGGTATATAATGAGAATATGGAGACACTAAATAAAAACAAGGGCAGCTCAGTAAGGGTACAGACTCCTAAGGATTAATAGGAAGGCAGCCTGATGAAGAGGACCGAGCTGTTGTGAGCAGAGGAATTAACATGTTCAAACACGTGGGCTCTTTTTGTAATTTTTGATGAATTACAAGGAATCCAGATGTCCTGAGTACTCCGTCAGGGTGTGTGGGGAAGGAGTCAGTGGAGGTGGGGCTGGACAAGGTGATGGCACAGATGAGGTACAGCCTGTGTGCCAAGTCGGAAACTTCAGATTCAACCAGAAACAGTGCAAATCATAAAGGATTTTATGCAAAGAAGAGGCGATATTAGAGGCAACAGATTCCAGTTAAGTGACTACTGCAAAAGTAACTTTGATGAGCAATACGAAGGGTTTAACAGCATTTGAACTATAAAGACAAAAAACTGATGGAGTATAATGGCTGGATTGACAAGGGGTTGAGGTAGAAGGAAAGAATTTACAAGACTCCAACCACCTTGGTTGTTCAACTGGAGAGGAGGTGGTACCATTCACAGAGATACAAAACGCAAGAAGAGAAGCACGTTTTAGAAGAGAATAAAATAAATCCCACTTTTACAATTCTGAGATTGAAATGTACATTAGGAATCATTCATTCATTAACAAAAATTAGTTACAGAGAGCCTGCCCTGTGTCAAGCGGGGATATTAACAGGAACTCAAGGAAATAAGGAGTGAGATGTTCATCACAAAGAATTAATCACCGTACCCTGCTTGACGTTCCAAAAACGTAGCATACGATCTCCATTAACTTACATTACGCCATGCTAGTAATTGCTTCAATAGCAGCTCTGGAGCTGAGGAGAGCCAGGAAGCAAGGAGCTTCTGCTCTCCAGGGAGCATCCTAAGATAACTGCAGTTCACCTCTTCTGTTTTCTTAGCTCATGCATCTCATTCCTGCAAAGCCTCCTTATTGGTGCCCGCCATGTACCAGAAACTATTCTTGGTGCTAGGGACATAGCTATAAAAAAAAGACAGAAACTACTATGACAGAGGGGAATCAAAATCTGACTCCACGTTTTTGAGCCCAGGCCATTCAAAGGATGAAACTGTGATTATTTAAGTCAGATGGAAAAGACTGTGGGAGAAACAGTCTTGGGAATAAAGATCAGGCGTTCATTTGGGGAGATGTTAAATCGGAAGTAGTCATTAGCGATCGCCATCAAAAAGCGTGGAGAAGGAAATTGGATGCAGGCGACTGCGGTTCAAGGAAGAGGTTCCCACAGCAATACTAGGTGGACACCAGGACCGTGCATGGAATCAGGTAGGGGGCACTAGAGAAAGAGGAAAAGGATGGAGACGACTGACGGGTGATTCAATTGCAGGTTTCAATTTGCAGGCTGTGGAAATAAAGGAAAGCTATCAGTGAGGTACAAGAAAAACAAGGTTCTCCTGGTAAGTGGTGTCCTGGAAGTATGGAAGGAAAGTGTCTCAAGAAGGAGACTGATCCACTGAGCCAAATGCTCTGCTGGGTCAAATACGATGACTAATCAAATGCCACTGCATTTGGCAATTTGGTGACTTGACAAGAACCAAATTTCTACAAAGGGAGACGACGGCTCTCCCAAGTGGACAAACACTTGCCTTCTCACATGTACGACTTACAACCAGTAACCAAAGGCATGCACTGGGGATTGGCTCTAAATATTCTCGTTGCTCCAAATGCATCTTTATACTTTAGAAATACTGCTTATTACTAACCTTTTGTTCAAGCAAGTCTACGTAAGATGCTTTTCTTCAGGTGTTAGATCATCGACTCCATTCTAATAATTTTAAAAGCAAATTCTGTCAAGCTCATTTTGCTACTCTTGTCCTAATTATCAAAAAGAAACCTTACACAAGAAAAGATGTTTTTAACAAAACTTCTAGCTGGAAGGGTGTGTGTCCATCTGGGACTTAGGATGGTTGCGGATTTCCTCAAGGGCACAACAGATTGACGATGCACTATTAGGACTCAGACCACTGCCAAAGACCAGGAAAACCAGCAGCCAAAACGGTCGTTACAAACAGAGGAACAAATGTCAGCTATGCCATAAACTAGAAGGTAAAGACACATAACAGGGGACAATAAAGGAGATAAACAGAAATCTCACATACTCAAGATGAGGAATACAGCTGGTCAAAGGCAATCTTAAGACCAAGGCAACTGGTCAAAGGAGAATCATTAGAAGTAGAAAGCGGTTAACAGCAAGACTGAGGAACATGCCAGAATCTGCATCATTTACTCTGTGAAGTAGCTTTCTGCCCTTGAAAACACAGTGAGGTTTCTTCAGACATGAAGGCGTGCCACCTAAATTTCCTCTAGTGCATGATTAAGGGCTATCACTGTGCTCCATGTAAATATGAGAAAAAATAATACGCATTTTTAACCTTTGGTTTCTGACCCTTCTGGACAATCAACTTTAAACATAGAAGTCAAGACACACTAACAGGTGTGATGCCTGAGCCCTGCACAGGGCCTGTCCAATTTGTCCACAGGTCGCCCACTCAGAGGCTTTGTCCAGACTGTGCGGAAGGAACTGAGACGGCAGCTAACAAACAGCACAGCAAGTATTTTTTTCGGAAGTTCACTCTGGTCAACATGTCCGCCCTCAGTCGATGTTCTTACAAGAAAAATGATGTCTGTACTACATTAAAAGCATATCCGCGGCAGAAGCTAAATCCAGATTGTAAACAAGTACCAATAAAGTACTTAAATAAAAATTCTATCAGAATCTGTGAATACTCATTATTTGGGTCTGAAAGATAACAGCTTAGGCTGCTGTTCATCTTCCCTTCAGCATAGCAGAAATCATGTGTCTCTCTTTGCAAATCAAATTTACATTTATCAAATTAAAATGAGTAAATGATACTTCTAGAATACATGGCTCCAGTGCAAATAAACAAAGTCAAAAGAATTTTAAATTCACACACATTAATTCAGAATAAAAACTAAGCAGACTACATAATATAGACAAAACACAGAAATAGTAAAGTACGTCAGCAGATGAAGCTCTACACTTTTATTTATACTTCCAATTAAATGTTCTGTAAATGACAGATACAGTCAGAGAGCAAGTCAGAACTTGGGGTAACTGCATATATCCCATACAGATTCAGAAGAATCAATCTCAGGATTCAAGAGGCTATAATTTACATGAACAGGAGCACTGAAAAACAAACGTGAATTTTTAAATATTTATTCAGACACTCTCCGAGACATGATTAATTTCTTCTGTGTCCTCCCATGAATTTTGTTAAAACTGCCAGTATTGCAGTTT